GACTGAGTTCAGCAGCCAAAGCCCAATCCAGTACCTGAGGGACTATGTGACCCTGGGTAAGTCACCATCCTCCCTTGGCCAGGCCTCCTCACCTGGGGACTTCCCCAGGCCACACCATTAGGATAAGTGCCCAGGGACAGGACCAGGCTGGGCCCCTCCCTCTCCAAAGAAGACAAGAGGCAAGTGCTCATTTACATTCGCCTAAGCTGTCCCCCACGGCCACAGCCTCCACCCTTTCCTGGCACACCCAATGGGTGTAAAATTTAAAGGAATCAACCCCACAGCTCTCTGACTGCACCTTCTCCTCCAGGTGCCCACCAGTGCGGCAGTTCAGGCCACTCTTACCAGGGCCCCACCTCCAAATTTACCTCCTCAATCCAGCTTCCACACTACCCACAACCCACATTCAAAACACAGATCCAAAGGCATAGCTTCCTCAAAAAAGACCTTTAGGGTTCCTCAGTGCCTGCAGCATCGAGTCCAGGCCTTGGCCAGACAGTCAGCCAAGACCTTACCTAAACACACCTGTATTTACTATCCCCATGACACAGTAATGCCAATATCTTCCCCTTGCCTTTGCTCAGACTGTCCCCGCTTTTCAGCACACCCACCCCTCCTAACACAACCCAAAGTCCCACGGTCCTATTGAGGCAATATGCCTTAAACACACTTATGTCTTTTGAATCACATAGGTAACCAGCGTGAATCATAAACTCCACTTCCAGAAATCTTTCCTAAGTAAATGATCAGAGNGTTCCCCACTGCCTTCCCCGCACCCAGCATGGGGCTTGGTACATAGCATGTGCTCAATAAATGCACGTTGGACAAACTGGGAGGCAGAAGGCTGTGCCCTCTTAGATGGGAAGGTGTCCTCGCCCACTGCCCACCCTGGTTCCTGCCCCCAAGGCCAGGCCAGGGGCTTGGGCCGTTGTCTCACCGTCAAACTGGTACTGGATGATGTTGTTGAAAACCTCCAGGAGGAAAAAGACCAGATGGTGGTTCTGGGCGGCAGAGAAGAGGAACCAGGTGGTGGAGAAGGCCTCCAGCAGGTGCAGCAGCTTGTTGGCGGCCACCATAGAAAGGCTCTTGAGGTAGGGGGACACTGCAGGGGAGGGTTCGGCTCACTCCTGGGGCCCAACCAGCCATCCCTGCACATCTTGGCCTGGGCAGGACAAGATGCTCCCTCTCCCAAACCTTCCCTGCCCACTGCCTGTCAAGTCCCTGAAAAGTCGGGAAAACCGCACCCCCAGAAGCCAAAGCCCCCAGGGAACAGTTTAAGCTCTATCCTTGTCCCTCCACCGTGTGGACAGCTGTACTGTTTAGAAAACCACTCACACGTGCCATCTCACCCACTCATCCCCACACCTCTGAGCAGGAGGCGGGACACAGATGAAACCATGCCCATTTTACAGATGAAGAAACTGAGGTTCAGAGAAGTTCATAAACTTGCCCAAAGTTCCCCAATTATAAAATGATTAAAACTCAGGATCTTTAGGTCTTTCTAGAATATCAAACTGATATTCTCCATATAATTAAATACATATGTTTTGGCACAGCCTGTGAGAGGGGAATCAGAGACGAAATGCTGCGTACAGCTTGAAGTCACATATCGATCCGTGAGCTTCCCTGTCGCGTGTCTTTCTGCCTCACCAGGCTGGGACAGGGATGGTGGCTGTCTTGTTCACAAATGCATTCTCAGAGCTGGCCACACTTGGCGGGTGCTCGGTTAAGATTGGAGGGATGGACCCAGTGAGTGAACAAGTAAGGGAAGGCCCCAGAACGCCTAGTCCAGCTAGAGGCCTTAAAGGGCGGCCCTGCACCACCCCACCCACCCTGGAGTCCAAACCAGACCACAGAGAAGTCAGTCCCTCCCCCCTAGGACGACGGTTTCCAAAACGCAGCCATGCTGAAGGCATCCTGCCTCAGCCCACTGCCTTCCACTTTGCTGGGCCCAGTTCCCCAGCCAACCTGAGCCCCTGCCCCTCTCAGGCAAGCTGTCTGCAGTCCTGGCTGGTGGGCAGGGCACAGCACAGCACCCAGGGAGGGGTGCTCCAAACCCCTGCACTGGCCAATACAGTAGCCACAAGCCACACCTGGCCTCTAAGCTTTGAAACATAGGTGGTCCTAACTGATATGTGCTGCACATGTGAAACACCAGGTGTTGAAGTCTGGATGAGAAAAAGGGTATAAAATGTCTCAATAATATTTTATATTGGTTACATGTTGAGATAATGGTATTTTGGATACAGTGTATTAAATAAAATGTTATAAAATTATTGTCATGTGTTTCGGTTTTTTTGTTTTGTTTTGTTTTGTTTTTGTTGTTGTTTTAAAGTGGCTACTAGAAAATTGACCAGTATATAGGTGGCTGCCCTTATGGGAGAAGACGCATTTGAACCAGGGCGCCGGCGGCAGGTCAGCCTGTGGCCTGGCGCCACCTGGTGGTGAGCATGGGGAAGGCAGACTCTGGGCCCCCCTACCGTTGACCACGATGGTGAGCAGACAATCGAAGAGGGGCTGCAGCCTCTGGTGCCCGCTGGTGATGATCTTGTGGAATACCTGTGCGGGGAGGCAGAGGGGCAGCCATGGGGTCCCTGCTACCTCCAGACTCAGCCAAGAGGACGTCACCCCCATGCCTGCAGGTGGCCGCTTACCACAATGAGCAGGTCGGCGTGGGTACCCGTGAAGACCGGGATGTCCATTGGCACGCGCACTGAGTAGGGTTTGTTCAGCCGCACCCCAAAGTTCCGCTCCCCGCTCAGAAGCAGCAGGATGAAGACACCAATGTGCATCAGGCCCACCCGAGCTGCAGCAGGTGGCATGAGAGGGGTCACCACGCCGGGTGGGGAAGGGAGGGAGGGAGCAGAGGGCAGGGACCCATCTTGGGCAGGTGCTGACAAAAGCCCTTCCTGGGAGGTCAGGGCACCAGGCCTGAGCTCCTGGGAGGTGGGACAGACTGGCTGGACCTGCCCCTCTTCCAGGAACCCCCCTATTTTATGACCCAAGCTGTGTCCGCCATCCTATACCCACCCCAGCCTTACACTGATCTGCTCGGGCATCATTAAGGAAGTAGAGGATGGGGACCAGGATGTCCAGCACGTCACTGCTCTTCAGCACAAAGAAGAGGAATTTCTGGGGAAAGGGGGAGGGAACAGGTAGGCGGGGTCAGAGGGAGGGGCAGCTCTGCCCCACCCTCTCCCCTTCCAGACACTGGGCTATCCAGAGTGGCCTCTCCCCATCTAGGGACAGACCACTGCTCTCCAGGCTGGGCCCCTGCAGCCAGCCCACCTTGTTGAAGTCACAGAGCTTCCAGAAGAGGACCAGCAGCTCCTGGTGGAACTGGATCTTCTTGGTGGAGTTGGGCAGGTAGGTCTGGAGCAGGGGGTTGGACAGCAGCCGGGCTATGCCCTTGAGGATGAACTGGAAATCCTGGGGGAGGGGGGAGAGTGGGGCCCTGTCCAGTCCAGCTCCCTGCAACTACAGCTTCTGGGGCCAGGCCCCCCACAAATGCCTCCTCACTCCCCCCAGAACCCGACCCCACCCTGAGAGTCTGAGGGGCCCAGATTCCAACGCCATCAATAGCTGTCTTGGGGTAAGCCCCTCAGGAAGCTGAGTCCAGGGCTGGCCTGAAGGATCCCGTTCCCCTCCATCAAGAGGGGTCATTCACTGGGCACCTACTACACACTAGGATGTGCTCTCAGTTAATCCTCACAGCAAGGCAAGGAAGCAGCTGCTGTCCCCATGTCATAGCTGCAGAGGTCAGAGCTTTGGAATCGTATAATTGTGCATCCAAGGCCACAAGACACATCAACTTGGGTCTCCCTGGCCTTTAAATCCACTGTCATTTCCCTCCCCCAACCTTTGAGAATCTTGATGTCAGAGCCACCTCCTGCTGGAAGCCTTCCCAGTCACTGTCACCCAGTTGAGGCCATCAGCCCTTTCCTGCATCTCGAAACCCTCTCAATCCTACTGTCACTATTTTCCCTTGGGTAGCCCTGAGTCCATGGGGAATATGGTTCCTTTATGTAGGGGTCAGGACTCCCCCACCCATCTCATCTGCCTCCCCTCACCCTCTGCAAGGCTATAGCCACTGTGGGGTGGGCAGCAAAAATCCACCAGAGCAAGAGCAGTGCTTGACTCACCTCCTCACGATGGATGCGGGACAGGTAGTTCACAAACAGGTTCTCAGGCCCTGGAGGCTGCCAAGGGCGGGGCTGGGGTGAGCAGGTGTCCCCACCCTCTGCCCCTACCCCAGGCCTAGGTTCTGGCAGCAGTGCCTTCTTGACCTCAGATAGCCCCAAGCTCACCACCAGGTGCCCACTGGGTACCCCTTGCCCAGCTCTGCTGGAGGGTGTGCCACCCGCCCA